CTTATCCACAGATTTGATGAGTAAACTATTCCATGGTCTCCTAATTTGCTTATGGTATCACCCTTTATGTCTAAATCATGTACCCATTTTGACCTTATCTTGGTATGTGGTGTGAGATGTTGGCCTATACCTAGTTTCTGCCAAACTGTTTTTTCCAGTTTTCCCAGCAGTTTTTGTCAAATAGTGAGTTCTTGTTCCAAAAGCTTGGATCTTTGGTTTTATGAAATACTAGATTACTGTAGTCATTTACTATTGTGTATTGTGTACCTAATTTATTACATTGATCCACAATTCTTATTTTTTTTTTAGCAAGTATCAGATTGTTTTGATGATTAGTGTTTTATAATACAATTTGAAGTCTGGTGTGGCTAGGCCACCTTCCTTCACACTTTTTTTTAAAATTAATTCCTTTGATATTCTTGACCTTTTGTTCTTTTAGATGAATTTTATTATCATTTTTTCTAGCTCTATAAAATACTTATTTGGAAGTTTGATTGGTATGGCACTGAATAAATAAATAAATTTAGATAGAATTGACATTTTTTATGTTGGCTTGGCCTGGCTGTGAGCAACTAATATTTTCTCAATTGTTCAGATTTGACTTTGTGTGAAAAGTATTTTATAGTTGTGTTCATATAGTTCCTGGGTTTGTCTTGACAGGTAGACTCCTGCTAGGCTTTGTTAGTCATATAAAGAAATGTTGATGATTTATGTGGGTTCATTTTATATCCTGCAACTTTGCTAAAGTTGTTAATTATTGCAACTAGTTTTTTAGTTGATTCTCTAAATTATTCTGTCATCGCAAAGAGTGATAGTTTTGTTTCCTTGTTGCATATTTTAATTCCTTCTATTTCTCTTGTTATTGCTATAGCTAGCATAACTAGTACAATATTGAATAATAGTGGTGACAGTGGGCATCCTTGCTTCACCCCTGATCCTATTGGGAAGGCTTCTAGCTTATCCCCATCATAGATAATGCTTGCTGATAGTTTTAGATAGATACGACATATCATTTTAAGGAAAGCTCCATTTATTCCTTTGCTTTCTAGTGTTTTTAATATGAATGGGTGTTGTATTTTGTCAAAAACTTTTTCTGTATCTATTGAAATAATCATATGATTTCTGTTGGTTTTGTTATTGATTTGGTCAGTTATGCTCATTGTTTTTCTGATATTGAACCACCTTGCATTCCTGGTATAAATCCCACCTGGTCATAGTGTATGATCTTTGTGATATATTGCTATAATATCCTTGCTAGTATTTTATTTAAAATTTTTGCATCAATATTCATTAGGGAAATTGGTCTACAGTTTTCTTTCTCTGTTTTTGCTCTTCCTGGTTTAGGTATCAGCACCATATTTGTGTCATAAAAGGAATTTGGTAGGACTCCTTCTTTGCCTGTTTTTACAAATAGTTTATATAGTATTGGAATTAATTGTTCTTTAAATGTTTGATATAATTCATTTGTGAATCCATCTGGTCTTTGGGATTTTTTTTAGGGAGTTCATTGATGGCTTGTTCAATTCTTTTTCTTAGATAGGATTGTTTAAGTATTCTATTTCCTCTTCTGTTAATCTGGGCAATTTATGTTTTTGTAAATGTTCATCCATTTCACTTAGGTTTTTATATTGGCGTATAATTGAGCAAAATAACTCTAATAATTGCTTTAATTTCATCTTTACTGATGGTGAATTCACCCTTTTTATTTTTTGATATTCGTAGTTTGGTTTTCTTTTTTTTAATCGAATTAAACACTCCTTTACATTCTTAAAAATTATTGAGAATACCAAAGAACTTTGTTAATGTTGGTTATATTTATCATTATGTATTAAAATTAAAATGTCTTAGTGGTATTATGAAAATGAAATCATTTTGATCTCACAGATCTCCTGACTGGGCTTAGGAGCCCCCAGGATTGCCCAGACCACACTTTGAGAGCTGCTGGTCTACTGGAACCACAGCAAGGGGCGAATCCCATAGGTGTATTGCTCAGACCCAAACTCAGGTCAGGAACTTGCAGATCTCAGATCGGGAAGTTAAAAAATCAGAGTTTTCCCTGAATCATACCACTCTGGGAGCACTGAAAGCCTTCAGGTCCTCACACTGAGCTGTCCCTGAAATCCTGGAATAACATAATACTCAGTACCCTCAAGAAAGCAGCATAAGGACTCAGGAGGACAAAAACTCAGCTCAGATATTCCCTCCAGAATATACAGAGCCCAACCCTAATGTGTAAAGTCAGGATATAGGCTGTAAGATTGAGCAAACAAACAAAAAGAATCTTACCATAAAGAGCTGTTGTGGTGATAGGTATACTCAAGACACAAAACCAGAAGAAGAGAATAACTTCAAAACTTCTACAAGCAGAGCCTGAACTCAAAGGATAACGTGGGCACAAGTTCAACTAGAATTCCTGGAAGAGATTAAAACAAGATAATTTTTAGAGAAGAGTTTTAATTTTTTTTAAATAAATGAAATAAGAACTAGAGGAAAAGAATTAGAAAAGAAATGAGCATCATGGAAGAAAGAATTAGAAATGGATCTAACATATTTGTCATAAGAGGTACAAAAGCTTGTCCAAACAACAAACTCCCTGAAAATTAGACATATAGTAATTAATGATTTTGTGAGGCAATAAGAAATATTAAAGGCAAAAAAAAACTAAAAAAAAATTAGAAGAAAATGTAATGTATCTCATAGCATAAACAATTGACCTAGAAAACGGATTGAGGAGAGGAAATTTAAGAATCGTACACCAGAAAGAGAGCCTACATTTAAAAATCATGAAAGAAAACTGCCTAGATCCCTTAGAAGCAAAGGGCAAAATGGCAGTAGAAATATTATAGCCAAAATTCAGAGTTTCAAGGTCAAAGAAAAAATACTGAAAGCAACCAGAAAGAAAGAATTCAAGTCCTGAAGAGCCAGTCAGGATCACACATAATTTAGCAGCCACCATTTTAAAGGAGTGGAGAGCTTGGAATACAGCATTCCAGAAGGCAAAGCATATAGACTTAGCAACAAAGAATAACTTACCCAGCAAAATTCAGTAAAATCCTATAGGGGGAAAAAGGGACCTTTAATGAAACAGGGGACTTCCAAGCATTCTTGATGAAAAAACCAGAAACCTTGAAGTTAAAACACCAAAATCAAGAGAAACATTAGAAGGTGAACATGAGTGAACATCATAAAGGATTAAATAAGGATAAACTGGGCATGTTCTAATGTGGGGAGATGATATATGTATCTCCCCAGAACCCTATCATCAGGGATTATAATGGAAGTCTAATTAAGCAGAAGATCTGGGAGTGGTTTGTTACGTCCTGATGATCTTCAAAGAATGATGGAAGGAGAGGGAAGAAGAGTACATTGGGGGAAGGGGAAACAGGAGAGGGAGGGTGGGGAAAATTAACTCATATAATTGAGTAGAAATTTATGTAAAAAGTATTTATATAAAAAATAGAAATCTATATAAACAAGGACAAAAGTGGGGAGGGAGTGAGCAACACTTGAACCTTACTCTTATCTGAACTGGTTAGAGGGAAGAATACGTACATACCTACACACAGGTACAGATATACATTTCATTCAACAGAGAAATAGGGGGAAAAGAAGAGGAAGGAAAGATGGAGATAAGAGGGAAAGCAGATCAGAGGAGGGGTTCGTTCTAAAGAAAACAAACTCTTCAGTATGTACAAAAATAGTTAAAACAGCTTATTTGTTGTGGCAGAGACTGCCCATCAGGTGGGTATAGCTGAACATGTTGTGGTACATGAAAGTGATAGAATGCTGTTGTTGCATAAGAAATGATTAAGGGCATGGTTTCAGAGAAACTTGGGAAGACTTGAACAGATGCTGAATGTAGTGAAGTGAACAGAACAAGTGGAACAGATTATATAATAACAATTTTGTAAAAACAAACAACTTTGAAAGACTTTTGAATTCTGATCAAAGAAATGACCACCCACAATTTCAGATGACAAATGATGAGGCATGCTATCCAACTCCTAATAAAAGAGATGATGAACTCAGAGTACATTTTTTTTTTACCTGGCCAACATAGGATTTTGTTTTGCTTGTCAATGTATGTATGTAATGGGTTTTTTTTTCCCCTCAATGGAGAAAGACAGAGAGGTGGGAGGAAATAAGACAGATTTTCTTTGATTGAAAAAAAATAAGATTTAATTATAGAAAAAAGAATATTAGATCCTTGAGGGCAGGTACTATCTTGCTTGCTTGCATTTATATCCCCAGTGCTTAGTAGAATGCCTGGAACATAGTAAGTGCTTAATAAGTGCTTTATCATTTATCTTTCTGGTGTCTGTACTGTCATCACATTTAATGGTGTTAAAATTTTCACATTCACTCAGTCATTTAAGTTCTTAATGAGTCTATGTCTTTTATTTATTGTATCATTTTTACTACTCTTTTTAATGCATTTTGATATGTAATGCAAAGTGGTTGGAGTACTTAGAGCCTAGAATCAGGAAGACCTGTTTTCAAATGTGGCCTCAGACACTTGTTTCCTGTGTGACCCTGGGCAAGGCATTTAACCTCTGTCTGCTTCAATTTCCTCATCTGTAAAATGGGGAGAATAATAGCACCTCCCTCCTAGGGTTGTTGTTATTATTATTATTGTTGTTTTTGGAGGCAATTGGGGTTAAGTGACTTGCCCAGGATCACACAATTACTAAGTGTCAAGTGTTTGAGGCAGGATTTGAACTCAGGTCTTCCTGACTCCAGGGCCCAGGATTGTAAGGATAAAATTTGATAATATCTGCAAAACACTTTACAAATCTTAAAGGTCTCTGTAAATGCTAGTAATTTTTATTATTAGCTATTATTACAGTATGGAATAAGTCAACAAGCATTTATTAAGCACCTACTATGTGCTAGGCACTGTGGATACAAAGACAATAAAAATACTCCAAATTATTCTTAAATCAAAATTTAATAACAAAATAATTAATAATTAATTTGACTTATGATTGTTTCTTTTTCAGCCCTACGCTGTTCAAGAACTAAAAGCAGTTGCAGGTGTGATGATTACTGCCTCCCATAACCGTAAAGAAGACAATGGATACAAGGTAAACCTTTGGGATCCAAACTTTTTTAACATAATTAATATGATGTGTGATGCAATCAAGATCCTAATGATCTTGATATTATAGAATGTTGAGCTAAAACAAATAGGATGACATTTAACAGGAATGGTGTAAAGGCCTGCATTTAAGTTTACAACTTAATCCAAATACAGGATGAGAAAGAGCCAGCTTGATAGCAGATTTAAAGCGAAAATAACAGTGGGGTGAAAGGAAAAAAATGTAAAGGCAACATTAAAAAGGATAATATAGATACTAGATAGATAGATAAATAGACTGTAGTAATTAGAGCACATCAAGAGTATATTTTTGGGCACCATATTTTAGAAGAGACATGGACAAATTAGTGCTGAGAGGATAGTAAAAGCCATATCCTATTTTTTGCAAAAGGCCATGGGTCACTTAAAGGTCACCTCAAGAATTGCTGGCTGCTGAATAGATCATAAACCCTTGTTTCTACCACAATAACTGTACAGATATGGTTTTCATTAAATAAGAAATAAGAAGATAATAAAAGAAAATCTAACTACCCTTGATGAATTCAAGTCTTCTGGCCCAGATGAACTACATTCTTGGGTATTGACAGAATTGGCTGATGTGATTGCTAAGTCATAGTCCATCATATTTGAAAGATTGTGCAGAATAGGAGAGATGCCACAGTACTGGCAAAGGATAAAGGGAAGAAGAAAAAAGAGGAGGAGGAGGACAACTGCAAGCCAATTTTCCTGGGAAAATTCTAGAACAGATTATTAAACAGATAATTGGTAAATATTTAGAAAATCAAGGTTCCAAAGATTGAGCAAGTAGTCATGCTAGACTAATTTTCTTTTTTGACAGGCTTATTAAGCTGGTAGATTGGAAGATTGTTGTAGCTATACTTTACCTAGATTTTAGAAATTCATTTAGTAAAGTTTCTCATACTTTTCTTTTGGAAAGGATAGAAAGATTTAGGTTAGACAGTAGTATAGTTTGATAGATTCAGAATGGTCGAAATGCTTTATTTAGAGTGGTGGTTTGGTGGCTACTTGTCAAGAGGTTTTCAGTGGAATGCCCCAGGGATCTCTGTTTGACCCTGTACCATTTAACATTTTTATCTATATTTTATCAGTGATTTTGATTAAGGCATTAATGGTGGGCTTAAGAAATTTGCATATAACCCAAAGCTGAGGAGAGCTAACACTCTTGATGACAGTTTCTGAAAAGATCTTCATAGGCTAGAGCACTGGGCTGAATCTGATAAGAGGACATTCATTTGGGGTAAATATAAACTCTTATACTTCACAAGTACAAAATAAGGGAGGCATGCTTAGAACAAAAGACCTGAGTGTAGTGCATTATAAGCTCAAACTGAGTCAGCAGTGTGATGTGGAGGACAAATGAGGACTCCAGTGCAGGCTCAGGCTGAATTAAGAGGCAGAGCTTCCCAGGTAGAATCACTCACTCTCCGTCTGGAATATTGTGTTCAATTCTGTATGTAACAGTTTAGAAAGCATATTGATAAGCCACTTCCAGAGGATGGGAACTAGAATGTTGAAAGGCACTGAGTCAATTCAGATAAGAATTGGTTGAAGAAAATGGGGTTATTTAGCCTGCAGAGGAGAAACTTTGAGGGTACACAGATGCTGTGCTCAAATACTTGAAGGGCTATCATGTACAAAAAGGATTAAACTTACTTTGGCACCAAAGGGCAAAACCCAGAGTAGTGAATGGAGACTGCAGAGAGGTAAATTTAGGTTTAGGCAGCTAGGCACAGTGGATAGAGGTGGGGCATGGAGGCAGAAAGACTTGAATTCAAATCCGGCCCCAGACACTAGCTGTTTGATCCTGGACAAGTCACTTACCCCCGTTTGCCTCAGTTTCTCATCTATGAGCTGGGGAAGCAAATGGCAAACCACTCTAGTATCTTTGCCAAGAAAACCCCAAAAAGGGTCATGAAGAGTTGGACACAACTGAAACAACTAAGTAACAACAAAGTTTAGGTTAGGTGTCAGGAGAAATTACTAAGAGTTAGAACTATCCAGAAATGGAATGGAATGCTTTGGGAACTATTGGGTTTCCTCTCACTGTTGTTCTTCAGAGAAAAGCTGGATAACCCCTTGTCTAGTATGTCATAATGTTGATTCATTTTTGACTGGACGACCACTGAGGTCTCATCTAAACCTGAGATTTTGTTTTTTTCGTTCAGAACTTTGTCAGTTGAGAAACAGTTGAAAAGCTATGAATGTTTAACCTGGAAAAGAGAAGATTAAAAAGAAAGTAAAAAGGATTGATTGAATTAATTCAAGCAATCAGCTTGCATTTGTTATGTGTTTACTATGTGCCAGGCACTATACTAAGTTCTAGGAATAGAAAGAAAGGCAAAAATTATTCAACATTATTGCTAATGATTAAGTATTTATTATGCAGAGACTTCTGGTAGGCACTGGACAAGGGTACAAAGTTTAGATAATACATGGCCCCTGATTTATGGAACTCAGTCTTGGGTGACAAGGGGGTGGTGCCACCCATACACAAATAAGTGTAAATAATACATAAGTGCATGAGATGTGTGTTATGTAAGTTCCAAGGATAGAGTTCATTCCTGATTGAGGAGATGAGGAAAACTTTGTGGATAAAGGGGAGGCTTTGAGTTGGGCTTTAAAGCAAAGACCTGAGGGCCAATTTTTGTATGGCCTCAGAGCTAAGAATGATTTTTTAGAGTTTTAGATACAGTAAAGTCAATGGTTAGGAACACCAACCAAAGAGGAGGGCCGAACAAGTGGTAAAAAGTAGGTGTTCCATGTACTGGGCACCACAGGAACAAAAGCACCATTGCTGTTGTAAACTTGTCTAGGAGTCCTGCGATCAGCTCTGTAGAACTGGGAAGCACCTTCTGAGAAGGACCATTTAGTTTCACCATAGCCTTTGACCATTAGTCTTACAAAATTGAGACCCAGAGAAGTTCAGTGACTTAACCTAAGGTCCCTGAATGGCAGAGTCAAGATTCACACTCAGGCTCCACGACTCCACGTTCAGGATGTTTGCTTAGAGAGAGAAAATACAAAGGGATGGGAATTCCTCTTGTACTGGGAAATCTCTTTTTGATACAAACCCTTTTGGAGTTTCAATTTATTGTATTTCCAAATAAACACATCATTTCACAATGAGCAGCTCCAGAGCTTAGACTAAAATTCATTGAACGGTTGTGATTCATCACTTAGCTTTTGGTACATCCTGTAGACTTCTTTGCCTAAACTAATCATTCTCTTCCAGGATGAAGATAGGTAATTAGATTCGTGTGTTTCCAATCTAATTCTGGTTGCCACTTGCATCTGTTTTTTGAAAGCTTAGAGTTCCTTCTTAGTTTTCTCTCAGGAAGTATTAAGGCTTTTTGTAAGAATAACATAAAAAAGATTTTGGTGCAAGACATTGTTTGGGAATTAATAGTTGAAGGATTTTTTCATTCAGATTAGACCAAGGAATTCAGACTAAAATACTGTTCTAATACTATTTTGTAATGTGTTGCCTATGGAGGAAATGGGAAGCATCAGTATGCCTCCACAAGGAGGGAGAAATGAGTTAGCAGTAAGATAGAGAAGGGGGCAAGAAGGCTCAAGGAAGGAGGCCTAAAAATTAGATGATTGCTATATTTGTCAAGCAGAAAGAACTACAGGCTTGTTTTGTGATGTTGCAAATGAAAGAATTAGAACCAATGAATAGAAATTACAGGTATCCAAACAAACTCAACAAACTAAAGGACTGTCCAGCAACAAGGGCTGAACATGAAATGGTATGTTTCTTACAGGTATTCAAATAATTATCTGTGTTCAAGAAAACCTATATGTGATCATCTATTAGGAGTTCTGTGTCAGGGATTCCTACATGGGAAGTTTGACTAAATGAATTAGAAGAGACGTTAGAGATAATCTTATTTAACACCTTTCTCACCTTGCCTTATGTGTGTAGAATTGAGTATCTGAAGATGTGACTTGATTTGTGGTGATGAATTGTTTTTAATTGTTCTCCTGCATATTCTGCTTTTGTAAAAGAATGATCGTTGCTGTAATCAGCATTTATTGGAATGATCCCATGTGAAAGGTCACCTGACAGTCCTGTTAGCTCAGTATATTTTTATATAAAGCCAAATTCCCATTGCAGTTAATGAAAGGACCCTTTAGGTAAATCAGACAGTAATTGTAATTATGTTCTCCATCACATACGGCTTTACCTTAGCATTTAATGCTCTCCAGTCTGCTTCAGGCCTATCTTTCTAGCCTTAGTTTACATACTCCACTTTCTAGCCAAATTGGACTGCCAGTTGTTCCCTAATTTCATCCAGCTTCCAGTTTTAAATTCTGTGATTTTTGTTTCTTTTATCTCCATTTGGGTTTATTGTCCCCTGTTCCCAAAGTTGTATATCTTATCTGTTGAAATCCCAATCAAGAATAGGAGCTTCCTCCTCCCTGGAAACTTATCCCAAGCCTCCTAGCTAAAAATAATGTTACTTTCCTTAACTTTTCTTAGCATACTTCTCTCATCTTGATTCTTTATCATAGATCATACTAATTTATGTAAATGACACATCTACCCATTTGATTTTAAGCTCCCTGGGGAAAGAGACTTATATTTTTTGTAGCCCTGTGCTTTGCACATAGTAGGTTTTTTAATGAATGTTTATTGAATTGTTCTTAACTCATCTAGGTATACTGGGAAACAGGTGCTCAGATTACATCTCCTCATGATAAAGAGATCCTGAAATGTATAGAAGAAAGTGTTGAGCCCTGGATTGATTCCTGGAATGAAAATCTAGTGGATACTAGCCCCCTGAAGCGAGATCCTCTGCAGGATATTTGTACACGTTACATGGAAGATCTGAAAAAGATCTGTTTTCACAGGTACTTTCTTAGGAAAATGTGATAACCTCACTTTAAGAAAGGGCAGAAGAAATGTGGGTAGGTTGAGCAGTTAACAGAATCAACCTTAGACAGAGCCAAAGAGAGAAAACAGACACAATCTGTGTTGGGGGAGGTAAAGGAGGAGACAGATAATAAAACAGGAAAAAAGAGGTGGGGAAAACCAAGAGTACTTCCTCCTACCTTCCTCAAGCTTCCTTTTTGACCTAAAAAAAAAACAGAGCAGTTCATTGTCACTCCTAAGGCATCCGGTGTGCTATGTGATCTTGGGCAGGTTATTCTCTAGATGTTTGCAGTCTGGCGATTTTGTAGTCATTCTTCTGTGTCTTTTTACTGGGAGGGGAGTAGGGCACAGGCTCTTACGTATTTATTATACTGAAATAATTTTTAAATAGGTAGTCTACATAAGATGAAATTTTCTTTTATAATTATTGCTATTAAAATTGGTTTTTCAACTGTGACTAAGAAGCTACCTTTTTTGGGGGCAGCATACATTTTTCATTTTCCCCAATTCCCCAAAGAGCTCCCTACAAGTAGAGTTTTAAAAATGTTATTCTTGTTTCATTTTCTCTTATTTCTCCCCAGCAGGCCATTATGTGTTATCTGTTGTTATTTTAATATACTTTTTTTTCTTTTGCTAAACAAAGTCTCAAATAATCTTCTCTTTTGAAATGAAATTTAGCCAGTTGAATACCAGTACTTATATTTGAATGTTCTTAACTATAAAATGTTTGCTGAGTGTATGAAGAAATGACTTGTTCTTTGTTCTGAATAATAATAATAACCCACATTCCTAAAACATTACAATTTATAAACTGCTTTCTCACAACAACTCTGTGAAGAAGAATCATTTCTATTTTATTAAGAGGAAGCAGGCTTAGAGAGGAAAGTGACTTGTTTATGGTCACACAATAAGTAGGAGAGGTGGGCCTGTCTTATACAGCACCACCTCTTAGGTATGTGAGTCTGTATATGTAGCGTTGTCAGCTTGTATGATTTTCCTGGTACTAAGGGTCACTCTCAGTCATTCTCAAAATATGTGTGGAATCTTGCTAATGTGGGCCATTCATGGCCACTAGGAGCTCTGGACCAGACCAGAAGTTGGTATAGAAGGATCCAGTAGTAGCAGAAGGCTTCATGGATTGAAGTATAGGAGCTCTGTGTTGCCTAGGTAGAGAGAACCCATATCTGGTTTGTCCCCAGGCAAGATAGTTTCATATGGAGCCAAGGCCAGATTGTTGTAAGATGGGCGTGGGACCAGCCTAGTTTAATAGTTTGGTACTGGCCACTTAATGCCCACTAAAAGGGTATCTTAGGATATAATGCTAGTTATTATTAAAATTCCTAACCTCATTTTCTTAATTGCTAATAAAATCCTTTCTGAAAATCTACTTATATTTTTGGATGAGCTGAGGAAGATTAGTTGTTCTGAGTAAGATCTAGCAGTTATAGCAGACTGCAAGAGGAGGCAGCAGTGTCATATGGCAAGCCAAAAACCTCATAGGATTTTAGGTTGCATTAAGAAAGGCAGAGCTTTGAGGAGCAGTGATAGAACCTGTCCTCTGCTTGTTCTCCTCAGACTTCACCTGACAGGATACCAGACAGTCTCAAGAAAGGTAACTAGAATGGTGAAAGAAATTGAGTCTTTATCATATGAGGATCAATGGAAGAAATGGGCGTGTTTAAACTAAAGAAGAGAGGACTCAGGGGAGACATGGTATCTGTCTTCAAGCATTTGACGGGCTTTCATGGGATGAAGGATTAGACTTGTTCTGTTTGGCCCCTGAAGGCAAAACCAGGAGCAGTGGATGGAAGTTAGAGACAAATTTAGACTTGATGTTAGGAAAATCTTCTTAATAATTCGGAAGGAATTAATGGGAAAAATATAAAGGAAGGAGCTCTAGCAGTACCAGATCTTAAACTGTACCATAAGGTGGAAATCATCAAAACTATCTAGTACTGGCTAAGAAATAGAAAGGTATATCAGTGGAAAAGAGTAGACATGTACCACACAGAAATAAATGACTGTAGTAACCTCATGTTTGATAAATGCAAAGATCTAAGCTTTTGGGATAAGAACTCATATTTGGTAACAATTGCTAGGAAAACTGAGAAGCAGTCTGGCAAAAATTAGATATAGACCAATATCTTACATCACTTTACCAAGATAAGATCAAAATGTACATGTGACCTAGACGTATAGGGATATATCGTAATTAGAGGAGCATGGAACATGTTACCTATCAGATTTATTTATACCTGTCAGAATAATAAGAGAAAAGTTTATGAATAAACAAGAAATAGAGACCATTGTGGGATGTAAAATGGATAATTTTGATTGTATTAAATTAAAAAAAGGTTTTGTACAAATAAAACTAATGTAACCAGGATTAGAAGGAATGCGGAAAATTGAAAATATTTTATAGCCTGTTTCACAGATAAAGGCTTCACATCTCAAATATATAGAAAAACTGAGTCAAATTTATAAGAATATGAGTCATTCCCCAATTGATAAATGGTCAATTTTTGGAAGAAGAAATCAAAACTATATATGTAGTCACATAAAAATGCTCTAAATCAGGGGTGGGTTCTGAGGCAGGATTTAAACTTGGGTCCTCCTGACTTCAGGGCCAGTGCTCTGTCCACTGCGCCACCTAGCTGCCCCAGACAAATGCACATTAAAACAACTCTGAGGTTTCCATCTCACACCTATCAGATTGGCTAAAATGAGAGAAAAGGAAAATGTTTGAAGGGATGTGGAAAAATTGGGACTCTTTTTACACTGTTGGTGAAATTATTAACTGACCATTTTGGAGAGCAGTTTGGAGTTATGCCTAAAGAGTTATAAAACTGTGTACCCTTTGACCCAGTAATACCACTGTTAGGTCTGTTTCTCAAGGTGATCGGGGGAAAAGGAAACAAGCCTATGTGTTCTAAAATATTTATAGCAGCTTCTTTGTGGTGGCAAAGAACTGGAAATTGAAGGGATGCCCATCAATTGAGGAATGACTGAACAAGTTGTAGTATATGAATTTGTGATGGAATACTACTGTACTGTAAGAAATGACAAGCAGGAATGTTGAAAACAAAAAAATAAATAAATTTATTTAAAAAAAAGAAATGACAAGCAGGTTTATTTTAGAAAAACATGGAAAGAGTTACATGAAAAAATGCAATGAAGTGAGCCGAACTGAGAGTATACAGTATATACTCTTGTATACAGTATTGTTTGAAGCATACAGTATACATTATTGTTTGAAGCATACAGTATACAGTATTGTTTGAAGAGTAACTATGAATGACTAAGCTATTCTGAGTAATATGATCATTCAGATCAGCTCCGAAGGACTTAGAAAGGAAAATGCAGTCTATCACCAGAGAAAGAGAAAAAACATATGGATGTATTATATGGTTCCACATATATATCTATATTAAATGTTGGCCTTCTCTACTAAGAGGTTGGGAGGGAAGGAAGGAGACAACTTGAAACACAAAATGTAGCAAAAAAATTAAAAATAATAGAGTTGCCTTGAGATATCATGGGTTCAACCTCCTTGATGGGTCTAATTGACCACTTGTTAAATATGTTTTATTAGAAATTCCTTTTATGTGTGGCTTGAACTAAATGCCAACAGAGATCCCTTTCAACTCAAATTCTGAGATTCTGTGATCAAGGTTGACTATGTATATAAGTCTTTGTAAGGTGGTAATGAGAAACAAAAGGGGAATGCCTTTGGGGCTGGGAGAGAGTGTCAGCCAGTAGTTTGGATGTTATAGAATAAATGAGCAGAAAAGAAAGCTGGTTTGTTTTGCTTCTTACAAGGAGTTTGTGCCCATTTTGTCAAAACTATCATGGTATCACAGTGTACCTGTACCTTAATGACCTTCAAGCATCACTAGGCTTTCTAGACTTAGGAAGGAGATCAGACTAGAAATTTTTGTTCTTTCAATTGAATGCCATAGTTTATTGTTTTCACCTTAGATTTCTGCCTAGAATACAGAATTCATTAACTACATTTTCTTGGATCATTGACATTTGCCGTTGTATCATAATTAAAAGTGTTTGTAGTGCTGATTGAATTCTGGTTTTACTTTTCAGAGAGCTGAACTTACAGACAAGCTTGAAATTTGTCCATACGTCATTTCATGGAGTGGGTCATGATTATGTGCAATTGGCTTTTAAAGTGTTTGGATTTAAACCTCCAATTCCAGTACCAGAGCAACAGGATCCAGACCCGGACTTTTCTACTGTTAAATGTCCAAATCCTGAAGAAGGAGAATCTGTGCTGGTATCTATGTATTTTAAAACCTGATTGAATTATTTATTTAACTCCATTAAAATGGAAAGAATCCTGAAATAGCATAGTTAGAATAGATTTCTGCAATCTTAGGTCCTTTCCCATCCTAAATTTATGATCTTATCATCTAGTTCATTCCCTGCATTTTACAGTTTGGGAAACTGAGGTCCAGAGAGGGACAGGTATTTGCCTCGTTACACAGCTAGTAAATACTGGAGCCATAACTTTAACCCAGATCTTACTCTAAACCTAGTGCTTTTCTCATTCTTCCAGGCTGCCTTTGTCATTCACAAGTCAGAGGATGATTAAGTTTTTAAGGATTAGAAAAGCAGAAGTCATTTTTATATCTTTTTAAAATTTTAAGGGAATTTATGTTCTGCATTAATGTTAGATAAGCCCTTCATGTGAAAGTATAATTCTTAGGAAAATCTAGGATCTTAATTTTAAATGTTGGTAAACTCTGGTCTTCTAAAACTAGAGAACTTTAGAGGGGGTTAATATGTCAACATATTATATACATTTGAGAATTAGTATAAATTGTACTTCTTCAGTGTAATCTGGCTTTTGGGGTGCTTGTCCCAGGAGCTGTCTCTGAGATTGGCTGAAAAAGAAAATGCCAGAGTAGTGGTAGCCACGGATCCTGATGCAGACAGACTGGCAGTGGCCGAACTGCAAGGGGAGTAAGTATCTGATAAAGACTTAAATGTTTGATTTGACTGTTCTTTTGTCTTAGAGCAATATCATCATTTTCCCAATGGCACTATTACCTGTCATAGCCTGGCTTTTTCAGTAACAGCTTAAAAAAAAAAAAAGAGGCAATCTGTTTTCTAAGCTATCCTACTTGGTGTTTAAGTTAAATGTTTTTTTTTTCTTGCTACCATTGTAGGTCATAATATGTTTTAATTTTTTTTTTAATATAAGATTCAAAGGAATTTGGTTTTGATGAATTTTTCCCTTCTCTGTGCAGTGGCCGTTGGAAAGTTTTCACAGGCAATGAGTTAGCTGCGTTGTTTGGGTGGTGGATGTTTGATTGCTGGAAGGAAAATAAGTCACAGAATGCTGATGTGAAGAACATTTACATGTTAGCCACTACAGTCTCCTCCAAAATTTTGAAGGCAATTGCACATAAAGAAGGATTTCAGTTTGAAGTAAGAGCTAGTTAGTATTTTTGTGTTTATTTTTACAACTAGAAGTTAAAGGAATTTTTACAAATACTGATTTCCATTGGTTTAACTTCTAATTCCAAAAAATGCTATTTTTAAGTTTGTATTTGTAGATTTACAGAATTTTAGCAGTAGAGAGGACCTTAAAAACATTGAATCCAACCTCCTTATTTTACAACTGATTCTGAACTTGCTCAAGGTCACACAGCTAATTAGTAACAGATCCTTTGACTTCTAGCTTGGAATATTCTTTCTAGTCACAGTAGCTGTGATTCCATGACATCAGAAAAACCAGTAGAAAAGTGAATGTTTGTTCACCTAGTTGTTTTGGTATTTTTGGAGATAGATTTAAGAAACTTAAGTTTTTAAAAGTAATTAAATAACTTACATAGAACCAGTAATTTTGAAAATCGACATTATTACTTCCTCTGATAATTACTAGGGTTAAATGAAGAATCTTTCTTTGTATTTTTAGTTAGTAAGCTGAAATCTAGAGTTAGATTGTGTACATATTTCTATTTTTAATTGTCTCTAATAATTTATGTCGTACTTTGCCTTTAGCTTATAAAGTAGTGGTTTTTATTCTACTCTATTCCATGCCAGTTGAAAAGCAATCTTAGTACTAAAGATAAACTGATAACTCTTACAGGTTATTTCGTTTATTATTCTACTAGGTCCCTGAGTTATAGAGTAATATAAGTGGTTCATTGTAAATGTTCATAAAAGTAGTCAAGCACATGTGCTGATATTGAGACTATATCACAGTAACTAGCCATGTCATCTTTATACATGAGTACAGTATGCATGCATATTGCTACATATGTGTATTTTTTTACACACATAATGCTTGGTAGAAAAATTGCTTAGTATCCTGTTTTATATTTCAGGAAACATTGCCAGGTTTTAAATGGATTGGAAGTAGAATAAAAGAACTCATGGAAAATGGGAAAGAAGTCCTTTTTTCATTTGAAGAGTCTATTGGTATGTATCAGAATACTAGAGAGACTTCCAGCCACCATTGCTATTCTAGTCTTGTTTGGCACGCATAGCCTCATACATGTATTACTATGTACTTCATTAATAGGTATTTCTCTTCTTTTGAAACATGGTACATTAGCACTGGAAAAGACCTTAGAGATCATCTAATTCTACCTGTATCTTTCTACATTCCTTCCTTTTGGGAAAAAGCCAGTTCCTTATTGAGTGAGATCTAGATGAGTATGTATTTGGCATGCTGTAGAACGAATTCATTCGTGCTTTAGGTAGAAGTTGGACCTTTGGTCTATTCCAGCTGTACTTTTCTGGGAATTGATGAAAATATGAAACTCCTCTTATAGTATCTTCCAAATATAGTTATTTATCTTCTGGTATAAGTAACTTAGGAGTCAAAAGTCTTGGATGTAAGTTATAACTCCAGCCCTTACTGGCTGTGTGAAACGTACTCAAGTCAATTCTTTTCTTTTGATCTTGGTTTTCTTATCTATAAAATAAGCGGTTTGGACTTGTTAATATTCCAAGGCCCCTTTCACCTTCAGATCTTATGATCTACTACTTCAGTACCTCCATTAACAGGAAATTTGCTTTCTCATAAGGCAGCTCATTTAATTTTCAGATAGCTTTACTTATTAGAAAATTCTTATTTCTTAATGTAGTAATAATTACTATCTTAAAACAATCAACAAGCAGATTTCAATATGGAATCACGTAGAGAAGGAATTTTTGTCTTCTGGTTTCTAATTTTGATTTGTAACCATCTTTTATTTTTCTGAAAAAGACATGATTAGCTGTTTTTTAAAGGCATAAAATATATTTACTTTGTGGGTTTCATCAGGTGTTAAATGGTACTGAGTTTATTTTGTCCTTTAAAAATATAAAACTGATAGAAACACAAGAAATCTGTTTTCTCTTGAAAAAAATTTTTTTTTCTGAAGCTCTTTTTTGTTTTCCAGGGTTTCTGTGTGGGACTTTCGTTTTGGATAAAGATGGAGTGAGTGCAGCTGCTGTTGTTGCTGAAATGGCGGCTTACCTAGAAACCAGAAATCTAACATTGGCACAACAGCTTACTAAAGTTTATGAAAGGTAAATTCTGTCGTTGTGACTCTAGCATTCTGTACTCTTGCTTTTTTTATGTTTAGGGTTTTAATTGAATTAACACTGACTTGTTGGTTGCTCTTTGTAAATATCAAAGATCCTAGGAACAGTTCTGACTCACTCTGCTTGGTTGTCGTGTTAGACTCCAGTTTTCCCTAGATAGTGATATGATTATGTATCGCTTATCTAAAAATACAGCAGATTGGCTAGACATTGGAATGTTGGACATTCAGTAGATGTAAGACCCTTAAGAGTAGGGACTCTTTTTTGTTTTATTGTGTTGTGTTTTGTCCTTGTATTCTTCAGTGCCTTGCATGTATTAAAAGTCCTTAATAAATGTTGTTTAGAACTGAATCTAGGGGCAGCTAGGTGGTGAAGTGGATAGAGCACCGGCCCTGGAGTCAGGAGGACCTGAGTTCAAATACAGCCTCAGACATATGATACTCACTAACTGTATGACCCTGGGCAAGTCATTTAACCCCGATTGCCTCGCCAGTTGTTGTTACTTGCTAATTTTTCCAGTGTATTTCTTGATTTTGGACTATATGTTATAGTTGAACTCTGCTTACCTCAGAGATTGGGAGAGAGGATAACTGTGCTGAGCGACAGGCTTTTATGTCTTGCTGTTTTAGTAGTTAGGTCTAGGGGCCTATAAGTTTTCATTGCTTCTGAAATGATATGACCTGGGAAGAAGTGTGATCGGTGTCTTTGTCTGTGCTTTAGTCCTTACCCAGGTAGGGCTCCTGTTCCTTTATGACCACAAGTGCTCCTCTCTGTCTTGGAACTGCAACCCGCAACTTGGAAGTGGGCAGTGGAATTGCCAAATGGTGCCTGGTCTTGAGCCCAGTGCTAGCACAGGGGTCCCCTGTAATCTCTTCCTGACCACATGTTTAATCCCCTTACTATCTCTGGGCACTGAGCACTCCTTTACCACTGTTGCAGCTGCCACCACCTCTTTCAGGGTCCACAGTTGGTGTCGCTTCTGCTATGTCAGGCTCCCAGCTAGCCCCCAACCCAGTGTCTGCCAATCTCTCTTTCTGTCCTCCTAGTTGTCCTGAACTAGAAAAATGACTTACTTTGACTTTTTGTTGGTTGTACCATTTGAAATTCTATTCGACATGCTTTTAAAAGTTTTTTAAAGGGGAATGTTGAAAGAGCTTGGGAACACTGCTCACCTCTGCCATCTTGGCTCCACCTCCACCCCACTCCCAGTGTCTTTTGAAGATATTCTAGAAATCGTATGTCAAGAAATCATGAAAAGAAAACTACATAGATCTCTTAGAATCAAGAGACAAAGTGACCATAGAAAGAATCCATTGGTTCTCACCTGAAAGAAACTCCAAAATGCAACTCCCCAGGAACATCATAGCCAAAACTTAGAGCTTTTAGGTCAAAGAAAAGTACTACAGGCAGCCAGAAAGAAAAAATTCGTGTACTTGATCCAACCATTCTGGAGAGCAATTTGGAACTGTGCCTAAAAGCCTATAAAACTGTGCATACCCTTTGACCCAGCAATACCACCACCACTAGTCTGTATCCCAAAGAGATCATACAAGTGGGAAAAGGACTCACATGTAGAAAAATAATTATAGCAGCTCTTTTTGTGATGGCCAAGAATTGGAAATTGAGGGGATACCCATCAGTTGGGGAATAGCTGAACAAGTTGTGGTATAAGAAATCATAAGCAGGTAGACTTCAGAAAAACCTGGAAAGACTTGAATGAACTGATGCTGAGTGAAGTTAGCATAACCAGGAGAACGTACACAGTTAACAGCCACACTGTGTGATGACTGACTTTGATTGACTTAGCCCTTCTCAGCAATGCAAGGAGCCAAGACAGCTCCAAAGGATTCATGATGGAAAATGCTGTCCACATTCAGAAAAAGAACTATGGAATCTAGATGCAGATTGAAGCATGTTATTTTCTCTCTCTTTTTTTGTTCTTTTTTTGTTTGTTACTTCTTTCTCGTGGTTTCTCCTATTGGTTTTAATTCTTCTTTATAACATGACTAATGTGAAAATAGGTTCAATATGAATGTATATGTAGAGTCTATGTCAAATTACATACCGTCTTGGGGTGGGAGGACGGGAGAGATGGGGAGAAAATTTGGAACTCAAAATCTAACGGAAGTGAATTTTGAAAATTAAAAATAAATTAATTAATTAAAAAAAAAAGAATTCGGATACTAAGGAGCCACAGTCAGGATCACATATGATTTAGCAGTCACAATTATAAAGAAATATATATAGAATGTAATATTCCAAAATGCAAAGGTTATAAACATAAAACAAAAAATAACCCAGCAAAACTGAGTACAATCCTATAGGGGAAGAAATTTACCTTTAATGAAATAGGGGACTCCCAAGCATTTCTGATAAAAAGTTCAGAGTTCAGTAGAAACTTTGAATTTGAAACCCAGGAGTTAAAAAAAAAAAACATAAGAAGATAAACGTGAGTGAACAATCACAAGTGACTAAACAAGGATAAATTATTTATATTCTAATATGGGAAGATGATACACATGTCCCCAGTAAATATTATCATCATTAGGGATCATAGTAGGAGTCTAATTAGACAGAAGATCTGGGAATAGTTTTGTTGAAAAGGGAGAAGGGTGGGGAACATTATCTCACATAGTCCAAGTGTGCAGATAGAAGACCATACAAAAAAGGAGGAAGGGACAGGGAGAACAAGTGACATTTGAACCTCACTTTCATCTGATCTGGTCAAAGGAGAGAAGAATACACATAAAGCTGGGTACAGAAGTCCATTTCAATCAACAGGGAATTCTTCTTTACAAAAAATGAGCAGTAAACAAGAGAAGGAAAAGTATAAGAAAAAAGGATGTGTGGAAACACACAATTAACAGTCATAACCATGAATGGGATGAACTCATTTATACAATGGAAGAGGATAGAAGAATGGATTAGAAAGCAGAATCCAACAGCATGTTGTCTATGAGAAACAAACTTGAAATAAAAAGTTAAAATTAGGGACTTCAGCAAAATCTGTTGGGCTTCAGCTGATATAATGACGTAAGAGCTTTGATCAATCTAATGATTAACCATAGTTCAGAGATCAGACAGAACGTGATATCAGCCTCCTGAAAGAGTGGTGATGGACTCAAGAGTGTAGGAAGCTCTCGATACTTACAGCAGTGGTTGTGTAGCGTAGCCCTGACAAGGAGTGGTAACAGGAGCAGCGTAACAAGTTTGATTCATAGCAGGGCTTCGTGACTGGAACATGGTCCAAGCTTGTCTGAGCTCAGAGAACACCTGGTGCTGGTCAAAGCAATACAGTAATTATGCCATTTTGCCACAGGGTGAGATCGTCCAGAGGGTGAACACAAAATATTCTTGTCATGCCAAACTCAGAGCACAGATTGCTCGCTGAGCCTTCGCTCTAGAAAACAAGGTATCTCCTAATATCTCGATATTTCCCCTTTTTGGCCAAAGGAAGGGGGCCCTAAAGAACCCCTACCTTCTGACCAATATAGGAGAGACAGATATAAGCCAATCTACTACAAGAGTCCAGTTGGGCCAAGACGAGCATTTTTATCCCAGGAAGTCAGTTCCTTGAAGGGAAACCAAGGGAAGTGTGTACCAGGTAACACTGCTAGCCATTGTTTGCTTGCAAGCAGAAAAGAGGGGGGAGGATCAAGAATGTAGAGAGAGAAAATGCCAGCACATGCTTGAGTCAGGGACTTGATGGTTGGGCACATAACAAAAGGGAAGAAGAGAAAAAACTAAGACAGTATACTTAGCCCTCGTCCAGAATCTTGGGACAGCTAAATCATCTGAATGTTGACTGCTTCTGGATTCATACTAGATGAACTTTGAGGTCCCTGGAGGGTATTGCCATTCACTCAGGAGCAGGGGCTTTCTTCAGATAATTCAAGAGTACTTACCCATGAGTTTAACAACTGTGGAAGTAGTCAAGAAGGACCTAGTAGGGGCCCTTAAGAAGATGCATGGGTTGACAATTTTGAGAAAACTCCTTGTATTAATCGTTGGATCTGAGTTTCTGGTCAGCATAACAGAGGTCCTTGGTTAAGGATCTCTGAAGAGCACAGAGAGATGGTCCAGTTTCCCAGCCATGCAAGGCTAGGTTCAAACAATGCAATAAAGTTTTTCATAAATTCATTGTCATAATTACATTAAGTCAGGTCACGTCACACTACTTGGAGGCTCACAATGGACTGAGTCTGAGAAGGGAGATTTACATGTTACCAAGGTAACCAAGAAAACTTAAAACACCTTAAAACAAAAGACTAAAGCAATACAATATTTATCACCAATATTAATTAACATCAAGTCTCTTTGTATCCTAGTAACCCCTTCTCAATATCCTTTTAACCAGCACATTTTGAGTCCCAGATGTCTCATGTAGTTATGTGGTCCCTTTTCTTGGACAATATGCTTATTCTTAGAACAGCTCTGAAAGGGTCTCTGCTTCTCTGGTTCCAAATCTAAAGGTTCCTAGATAATTCTGAAATGTCAGAGAATTTCAATTTGTATACCATTTGCTGTTTCTATCCTTACTTAAATCCTATGCCTGATATAAGAATCTTTTAAAAATTTATGAGTATCCAACTATAAAAGAAGCTCTTCTCACTTTTAAAATTATCACGTGGATACTTTAATAATGGAAAATAATTTCACTTTCTTTATCATTATCAATATAATTTGTGTGTAAAATCCTTAATCCAGTTTTGAGAACTTATTGCTAAGACATACTAAAAGCCTGAATTTCCATGATAAATCAGTTTGAAAGCCAGTCATATACGTATGTATATAATTCTTAGAGTAAACAGTCTAATCCTGTTGCTTTTCTCAAAATTTACTAGTCCATTTATTTAGAAAACTTTTTACATCTTTGTCTTATTCTTATCTAATTAACATCATAAACTCTATATGTCTAAAACAGAACTTAGTATCTTTTCCCCTAAAACCTCTCCATCTCCTCCCTGTTACTGCAGAGGGCAACACCATCCTCCCAGTCCTAGGCTTACAACCTAGGAGTTTTCTCTGGTTAGCCTATGTCTGGGGATGTTTTCCCTCCTCATCCTGTCTACTGCTTTCCCTGGTTTCCTTTTAGGCCCAACTAAAATTCTGTCTTCTACAGTAAGCCTTTCCCAACTTTTTATTTATCCTATTTATAGTTTCTCTCTCTGTCTGTCTCTCTCTCTGTCTCTGTCTCTCCTCTCTCTTTCTCTCTCTCTCTTTGTGTATTCATTTACTTGTTGTCTCCTCCATTAAAATGTGAGCTCTTTGAGGGCAAGGACTAACTTTGGCCTCTTTCTGTATCTTCAGCCCTTAGTACAGTGCCTGGCACATAGTAGGTGCTTAATAAATGTCTATTGATTAACTGTCTAAAATATGTAGGCTTACAAAATAAACCAGTTATATTGAAATAGTTATAAAAATATTTTTAAAAATATCTACAGGAGCAGCTAGGTGGTGCAGTGGATAGAGCTCTGGCCTTGGAGTCAGGAGGACCTGAGTTCTAATATGACCTCAGACACTTGACACTTACTAGCTGTGTGACCCTGGGCAAGTCACTTAACCCCAATTGCCTCACCAAAAAAATCTACAGACTGCAGATTAAGAAGCCCTGCCCTAAACTCATACATCTGCTGAACTTCCTATTTCTGTCAAGAACAATATGATTTTTCTAGTTTTCCAGATTCATAATTTCAGCATTATCATTTACTCCTCACCCCCCTTCACTCTACGTATCCAGTCATGTGCAAAACTTTGTCATTTCTACCTTCACAATATCTTTTACATCTGTTTCCTCTTTATTCAGACAGTAACCATTTCCATTCCGACCTTCATTACCTCTCATCTGGACTATATTGGAATGACTTTCTAAATGGTTTCCCTGCTTCAAATCTCTCTGCACTCTAATCTATCCTCCACACATCTGCCATGGTGATATTTTTTTAAGCCAAGATCTGAGTATGTCATTCATTCATTCAGTCAGTAAACATTTATTAAATGCCTGTTATATGCCAGGCCATAGATCACTGCCTTGTCATGGTGGTGGGGCTTGCATAGCTCAGTGAAACTATGAGCTGTGCTGTGCAGGGTTACCTAAGACAGGTTATAGTGGAGAGTTCCGACAAAAGGTGATCCACTGGAGAATAACAGGCTCGTTTTCAAAGAGGCAGAGGAACTAGAGACCTAATTGCCAACATTCACTGGATTATGGAAAAAGCAAAGGAGTTACAGAAAAACATCTACTTGTGCTTTATTGACTGCACTAAAGTTCTTGACTGTATGTATCACATCAAAATGAGGCAAGTCCTCAAAGAAGTAGGAATACCAGATCATCTTACTTTTCTCCCAAGGAACCTGTGTGCGAGTCAAGAAGTAACAGTTAGAACCAAACGTGGAGCAGCTGATAGGTTTAAGATTGGGAAAGGAGTATGATAAGGCTACATGTTGTCACCTTATTTATTTAACTTATATGCAAAATGCTTGGCTGGATGAAGTAAAAGTTGGAATTAATATTATCAAGAGAACTATTAATAATCTCAGGTATGCAGATGATCCCACTCTGATGGCAAAAAGTGAAGAAGAATTAAGAAACCTTTTGATGAGGGTGAAAAAGTAGAGTGTAAAAGCTGGCTTGAAGCTTTACATTAAAAAAAAAACACAAAGATCTTGGCAACTGGTCCCATCACTTTCTGGCAAATAGAGGGAGAAGAAGTGGAAGCAGTGTCAGATTTTCTATTCTTGGTTTCAGAGATCACTGTAAATGATCATTGCAGCTGTGAAATTAAGATGTTTGCTCCTTGAAAGGAAAGTTATGGCAAATCTAGACAGCATACTAAAAAGCAGAGACATCACCTTACCAACACAAAGCTATGTTTGTTTTTTTCAGTAGTAATGTAGACTATAAGAAAAGCTAAACACCGCAGAATCAATGCTTTCAAATTGTGGTACTGGAGAAGGCTTTTGAGAATCTCTTAGACAGCAAGGAGATCAAATCAGTTAATACTTAAATTAATTCAGGATATTCGCTGGCAGTTTAAATACTGAACCACATATGGCCACATATTGGGCAGTTCAGGAAGAGTGTAACCCAAATGAACTGGTCCAATCCCAGCTCAAATGGGAGGAGTATGGATTTTACTAACCGTTTTAAAGTTGACTCTGTTTCTGTACCAGTGCGCACATGCCACTATGGTGCGGTGTGCCCACTTCTCTGGAGAAGCATAATAAAGGCTTTCCTTCACACACTCCTGTAGTAGATTTTTGTTTCAGATTTTTCTAACAGGGTCACAAAAGAGTCAGACACGACTGAAAAACAACAGAAGTGCCAGGCACTGTGGTTAAGTGCTGGAGTAACAAAAAAAAGACAAAAGTCAGTATCTTCCCAAAAGGAGCTCTCAGTGTAACAGGGGAAAACAGCACATAAAAAGAAGTGAAAAATGAGCAGGAAGAGCAGAGAAGGTACTTGACTGGGGATGGAAGGGAGGTAAAGTCCAAAAGACTGCAGATGTTTGGAAGTGAAAAGATGGCTGCCCTAGGTGCCCTCCTTAAATGAAGGATCTGGGAAGAGTTCTCCAATGTCCACCCTCCACTCTGTCCAGTCAGTGAGAGGGAGGGGCCCCAACTCACTTTAACTCTAATACTTCCGTATTTATTACCTCTAGAATACAATCTAAAATCCTTTCTTTAGCATTCAAAATCCTCCACAAGTTGGCCCTGACTTATCTTACTCTATATATTACTCCCCTCTTCACTCTCTGTAGTCCAGCCAAACTGACCTTCTCTCTATTCCTCACATATGATGCATCATTGCCCATCTTTGTACCTCTGCAACTGCCCATATGACATGACTGGAATGTCCTTCCTTTTCATTTTCATTTCAAAGACTCCCTCATTTCCTTAAAGATCTAACTACGTTCTATCTACCTGATGCTTTTCTTGATCTCCCCTTCCCCACTAATTTGTATTTAAATGGCCTTGCATTTATTTTGTATTTAATATTCATTATGTATTTATTATATGTAAACATTGTCTCCCCAATAGAATGTAAGGTAATTAAGATAAGGGATTGTTTCATTTTTTTGTCTTTGTACTGTTATGTAATCTGTAATGTAATGTAGTTATGTAATTTGTACCTCTTATATAGTAGAACCTTAGTAAACACTTGTTGATTTGTTAAGTTTCTGCAATGTTCTAGGCACATTTTTTAGTATTTACTTTATAAATACCAAAAGAAAACAGTTCCTGTCCTCAGGGAACTTATGTTCTATTATCTGGAATCATCATATACTTAGATAAATATTAGATTCAAAGATGTGCCCCCTCCCCACTGGTCAGTTTCCCTTTGTGCAAAATGTGGTTGAAACGATCTATTTTCTCATTTGTGATTACCCTTTTCTCTTATTTGATCAAGAATTTTCCTCCTAATTGTTGTTGTGAAAGGTATCTTTTTCCATCCTCATCTAATTTTTTTAAATGATGTGACCTTTTAAATTTAGGTTGTATATCCATTTAGAACTTAATGTAGTATATAGGGCAGAATGCTTGTTTAAACTCAAATTCTGATTTTTTTGTTTTGTCTAGGTATGGATATCATATTTCAAAGACATCCTATTTCTTATGTTATGATCCACCTACTATCAAAAATATATTTGAAAGGCTTCGGAATTTTCATTCTCCAAAAGAATATCCAAAATATTGTGGGGCATTTGACATATTGCACATACGAGATATTACTACTGGATATGACAGTAGCCAACTTAATCAGAAATCGGTAAGTGATATGAAGTTTCTTGAAGTATTTCTGGCAGTCTTGAAGGCAGCATGGTATAATGGAAAGAAAGAGTGATGGATTTGGAGTTAGGGAACTTGAACTTATAATATTTTTATTTAAAGTTTTGAGTTCCAAATTCTATCCCTCTCTCCTTCCTTTCCCTTCTTCCTCCCTAAAATGGTAAGCAATCAGATAATAGGTTATACATATGCAACTATGTAAAACATTTTCATATTAGTCATTTTGTTCAAGAAGACTTGAATAAAAGAAAAAAATGAAAGAAAAAAGTGAAAAATAACATGCTTCAGTCTGTATTCAATCAGTGTGAGTTCTTTGTCTGGAGGCAGATAGTATACTTCATCATTAGTCCTTTGGGATTGTCTTGGATCATTGTATTGCTGAGAATAGCTAAGTCATTCACAGTTGGTTCTTCGAAAAATATTGTTTTTACTGTGTACAACATTCTCCTGGTTCTGTTCACTTTACTATGCATCAGTTCATGTAAATTTTTCCAGGTTTTCCTGAAATCTGCCTGCTCCTCATTTTGTGTGGAACAATAGTATTCCATTGCAATCATATACCACAGCTTGTTTAGCCGTGCCTCAGTGGACATCCCTTTGATTTCAAATTCTTAGCCACCACAAAAAGAGCTGCTATAAATATTTTTGTATAAACAGGTCCTTTTCCATTTTTTTGGATGTCTTTGGGATATACAATTAGCAGTGGTATTGCTGGATCAAAGGGTATACACTGTTTTATAGCCCTTTGGGCATAGTTCCAAATTGCTTACCAGAGTGTTTGGATCAGTTCACAACTCCACCAACAGTGGATTAGTGTCCCAGTTTTCCCATATCCTCTCCAACATTTATCATTTTCCTTTTCTGTCACATTAGCAACTCTGATAGGTGTAAGGTGGTATCTCAGAGTTGTTTTACTTTGCATTCCTCTGATCAATAATGATTTAGAGCATTTTTCATATGACTATAGATAACTTTGATTTCTTTATCTGAAAACTGCCTGTTCATATCCTTTGACCATTTATCAATTGGGGAATGGCTTGTATTTTTATAAATTAGACTCAGTTCTTTATATATTTGAGAAATGAGGCCTTTATTAGAGATATTTGTTGCAAAAGTTTATTCCAAGTTTTCTGCTTTCCTTATAATTTTGGTTGCATTGGTTTTGTTTGTGCAAAAACTTTTAAATTTTGTATCAAGATTATTTTATATTTTGTGATGCTCTCTGTATCTTCTTTGGTCCTAAATTCTCCCCTTATCCGTAAATCTGACAGATAAACTATTCCATGCTCTCTTAATTTGCTTATGGTATCACCCTTTATGTGTAAATCATGTACCCATTTTGACCTTATCTTGGTATATGGTGTGAGATATTGGGCTATACCTAGTTTCTGCCATACTGTTTTCCAGTTTTCCTGGCAGTTTTTATCAAATAATGAGTTTTTGTTCCAAAAATTTAGATCTTTGGGTTTGTCATATACTAGATTACTATGGTCATTTACTATAATGTAATTTGTACCTAACTTATTCCATTGATCCACCACTCTATTTCTTAGCCAGTACCAGATTGTTTTGATAGTTACTTTATAATATAGTTTGATGGCTGGACCACCTTCTTTCACATTTTTTTTTCATTGATTCCCTTGATATCCTTGAGCTTTTGTTCTTTCAGATGAATTTTGTTATTATTTGTTTTAGCTCTGTAAAATAATTTTTTATAGTTTTATTGGTATGGCAAGAATAAATAGATTAACTTAGGTAGAATTTTCATTTTTATTATATTGGCTTGGCCTACTCATGAGCAATTAATATTTTTCCATTTGGTTAGATCTGACTTTATTTGTGTGAAAAGTGTTTTATAGTTGTGTTCATGTAGTTTCTGGATTTATCTTGGCAGGTAGACTCCCAAGTATTTTATATTGTCTACAGTTATTTTAAATGGAATTTCTCTCTCTGTCTCATGCTGGTGAACTTTGTTGGTAATATATAGAAATGCTAATAATTTATGTGAGTTTATTTTATATCCTGCAACTTTGCTAAAGTTAATAATTTCAAGTACTTTTTTAGTTGATTCCCTAGGATTTCTCAATATAACATCCTATCATCTGCCAAGAGTGATAGTTTTGTTTCCTCATTGCCTATTCTAATTCCTTTAATTTCTTTTTCTTCTCTTATTGGTATAGCTAACATTTCTAGTGCAGTATTAAATAATAGAGGTGATAATGGGCATCCTTGCTTCATCCCTGATTGTATTAGGAAGGCTTCTAGCTTATCTCCATTACAGATAATGCTTGCTGATGGTTTTAGATAAATATTAGTTAGTATTTTAAGATAAACTCCATTTATTCCTATGCTCTCTAGTGTTTTTAATAGGAGTGGATGCTGTATTTTGTCAAAAACAAAATTGCCTCTATTGAAATAATCATATTTCTGTTGGTGTTATTGATATGGTCAGTTATGCTAATAGTTTTTCTAATATTGAACCAGCCCTACATTCCTGGTATAAATCCCACTTGGTCATAGTGTGTGATCCATTGGTGTAATTTCTTTGCTAGATTTCTATCTACTACACCATATTGCCTGATTTGTTTCTTAATTTAAAAAAGGTTTTCTTGATATCTTTTGTTTTTACATTACAACGTACTACCACTGCTACTTCCATTTTATAAAGAGGAAACTGAGACCCAGGGAAGTTAAGTGACTTGCTTGAGGACACACAGGTAGTGGGAATCAGAGGTGGTTCAAATCAGAATTTGAATCCAGATCCTCTAATTCTAGAGCTTATTATGCTCTTTCAACTGTGCCATAGTACCTCCATTAATTTAATGTGATAGTACCAGTATGACCCTGCTTGCTTATGCCTTCTTTTGTACTTTGTTCTGCACTTTTCTATTTTTTTTCAATGGTTCATTGATGTTATTTTCTATTTTTGGCATTACCGTCATTACCTTTTCTACTTTCTCTCACAACTTTTCAAAACCTTCCACCCAAATAAAACCCTTCCTTGTAATAAATGATTACAGGTAAGCAAAAAAAAATTTTTTTATTATGTTGTTTGTGTCCGAAAGTGTATGTCTCTTCAAATCTGGCCTCAGACACTTGACACATACTAGCTGTGTGACCCTGGTCAAGTCACTTAACCCCGATTGCCTCACCAAGGGAAAAAAAAACCGAAAGTGTATGTCTCAGAATCTATACCTATAGTCATTCATTACCTCTCCATATCTATCACATAAATCTTCTCATGCTTCTCTGACTTATTCAAGTTCACCATTTCTTATGATACAGTAATATCCTATACATATATGTCCAATAATTTACTTAGCCATTTCCAATTGATAGAGATGTACTACAAAAATTATTTTCAAAAATACAGACAGAAGGCACACTACCAAGCTCATTTTATAAAGCAACCATAGTTATGATACCTAAACCAGGGAGAGATAAAGCAGAGAAAGAGAAATGTAAACCAGTTTCACTAGTGAATGTTGATGTAAAAAATAAGGAGACTATAGCAATAAATCCTGAAAATAATCATTGTGACCAAAATGGAGTCATATTAAGGAAACAAAGAAGGTTCAACATTAAGAAAGCAATTGGTATAACTAAATAAATGTGCCACAAAGATAACAAAAACCACATGATTATTTCAATAGACACAGAAAAGCCTTATACAAAGCATAGTACTTATTTATGTCAAGAACTCTAAAGAGCATAAGCATAGAAAGACTTTTCTTTAATATGATCATTGTTTCTGGAGAAACACTAGAAGCTTTAACCTTGCAAAAGGATTAAGCAAGGATGCTCCCTATTTGACATAGTTCTAGAAATGTGAGCTTTAGCAGTACAAGAAGATGAAATCAAAGACATAAATATTAACAAAGGAATGATAAAATTATCCTATTTTGCAAATAATGTGATTGCATACTTAGAAAACCCCAGAGAACCAGTGGAGAATCTAATTGAGATGATAGCTTCAGCAAGGTATAAGAATGCAAAGTAAATATACAAAATTATCCACATTTCTGTAGAATACTAACAAAAACTAGGAAGAGACAATGAGACTCCACTTAAAATAACTAAATTTGCATACAGTATTTGGAAATTAACCTACTAAGACAAAAACGAGATTTATATAAATCCAGCTGTAAAGAGGCAGTATGGAATAGTAGATAGTCAGTCTCAGAGTCAGAAAGACCTAGGTTATAAGTACTACCTCTCTCACATAACGACTCTTTGAGCCATGGCAAATCTCTTGATCTCATGGTGCAACTCCCGAAAGCCAGAAGCTGGAGAGAAAGTGCCTATATGCATTATAGAGGGGTAGAAGGCGTTTCCTCACCAGTGGGTTCCTTTACCATTAAAATCACAAATCCAAGCCTTATCTCTATCACTGTAAGTGTGAAACATGTTTTTAGAAATAAAGGGAGACTTAATAATTATGCACTTTAGAGTTCATAAAGCACTGTATTTATGTTACCTTGTCTGGTTCTTACACAGCTCAGTAAGATAGATACTGTCACCCCCATCTTATATTAGAGGAGACTATATGAGATGTGCCTGGGGTCACCCAGCTACTAAATGTCTAAGGCAGGATTCACTCTCAGGTCTTATTAACTCCAACTTCAGAACAGAAAAAGAAGACTGTGTATGAAATTACATGTCTCATCACATACAACTTTTTTAAAAGTGTACATTCAGTTCAGCATGTTCATACCTGAGTTATCTCCCTTTTCGGTATTGCCCTCCAACTGTATCACCTAACCACTGTGTCACCGGTTTTGACTGCATAACTTTTTTTTTGCACAAAAAGCATTTAAACAATTAAATCAATGAAAGTAGAATCACCATGTCAAAGAAGATTGTCATACAAGTTGGGCAAAAATGAATAAAAGTAGAAATAATAATATTCATGTGTTGATCATGAAATATTAGTGTGCAGTAACAAATAATCCAGAGAAACATGGAAACATTTGTAAGAAC